TTACTGCATACACTTGCACACATGTCCCTGGGAAGCTGTCATGCGGAGAACCCAGGAACTTGAGTGAGTGAACACTCCCCCTGGTCTGCATCCCCTCATATGAAAAATGAGGGGGTGTAGAAGATGATTTCCAGAAGGCTCCCAGCTCTAGAATTCTGTGTTCTATGATTTTCCAGGTTATTTAGAAGTATTTGCCAACTGAATTCTATTTTGAACATCCCACGGGCTGCCTACTTGAAAGAATCTTATGGTCAACACTGTGGCAGATATAAAGAGGCTCCTTGTAATGTATCTTTCGTGTAGATTTTCTTGAAGGCTTTGCTTAAAGAGATTACCTATAGTCCGTGAGGCCCGAAGAGTCGCAATCCCAGATCTGCCACCTCACCTGATCTCCTAACAGCCCCACAAAGTGGACGAGACACATGACAAGCAGAGAGACCGCCACAACCTCACTGGTGTCCCTGGGAACAGGTCGAGATAGGAAAAACCCCACCACACACACCCAGTGGAGCATCACACCTTGGTGGGGCACAAATAGGAAGTGAGCTGAGGAAAGAGCTCTCAGCCTCTGATGAAGGCTCCAGGCGGGCTTGGGCCAGTGCGCAGGGGGAGGGCAGAGGAAGGTCACCTTCCTTCAGTAATCTGGGAGGATGTCCATTCGGCCTGCACTCAGCAGACCTGCAGAGGGCCCCCGAGGAGTGAAGAAGCCAGCTCTTCCCAGGAAAGAGGCAATCTAAATCCCAACACCCCTCCCAAGAAGTGCAGCTCAAAGTGCAGCGAGCAGTCCAGGGGGGTCCTCCCATTCCCCTTAGGAGCGGAGGGCCTGGAGCTGAGCTGTCCTCACAGGAGCCACCGGTCTGGTCCAGATTCCTAAGCCTGGAAGCCCCGACGCTCTGCGGTGGCTCCCACCAGCTCTGGCTGCTGCAGAAAGAGCCCACTAGCTGGCATCACTGCCAAGGTATAAGGCGGCCTCAGGCTCACCACTTCCAGAGAGCCTGAAGCCAGGGGCTGGGACCAGTTCCCCTCAGGTCCATGGTCCAGATAACATTTCCTGAGCGACTGCTCAGTGCCCAGTGCTGCACCGGGCCCTGGACAGAGATGACTATGCTGCTGGCCCAGCCCTGAAGGGGTCACCCCATGGTGGGGGAGACACCCACAAAGACCCTGAAACATCACTGTGTTCCATCTAGGAAACCAGGGAAGGCTTCTCAGCAGCGCTGGTATCTGAGGATGGAGAGGGTCAGCTCTCCAGGAATTCGAACAAGGTGGAGTCCCCTCTGCTCTCAACTTTTGAAGGGCAATGGTATCAAAACCTCACTCAGCAGGAGCCCCGCCTCTCCCTTTAAACCTGGATTCCTGAGGAAAATGCAGATGCAGGGTGGGAGGTGCCTCTCCCCCACCTCGGTACCCTGCCTCCTCTAGGTCCAGGGCGACCCCCAGAGGACCCTCCTGAGCAAGCCAGGTGCCACTCCTCTGCCTCTCCCTCGGGGGCCACACCCTGCAGCCCTGGCCCTCACCCTTTCCCAACCTCTTCCTCAATCCCACCTCTTCTCAGTCTGCTTAAATCAGTCTCCTCCCAGTAGGAGACTCTCCCCCACCCATGTCTTGCTCACTTCTGCCTCAAAGCCATGCCCAAGTAGCCCCAGGCTAGGAACACCCACCAACGCCCAACCCCATCCCAGGGAATGCTCTTTAAGTTCACCTCCTCCTCAAAGCCTCCCGGCAGTTCCCTGACCCCACTTCAAGAACCCCCACCATGCCCCCAGCTTCTGGGCTGTGTCTTCGCTACATCCCGCAGTGCATTCAGCCTCAGCCACCCTAGGAGCGGTCTCCCACTCCATGCTGACCCTTCTACTTTAAAATCCATGTATAACCACCACTCTCTGCCTCCTGCAGGAAGCTCTGCCGGGCTTACCCCTTCCCAAACCGTACTGCTTTTGCACATACACCTCCCTTTCCCACACCATGCAGCACTTAAGCTTTAGTTTTTAGGACTACTTAGCAACTGACCCACAAACAGAGCAGAATCGTGATGCTGGGGGG